ATATCATTTTTATTCTTTTTGTGTTGCTTTGTTTTAATCTTTGTTGTTGTTATTTTGTTCTTTTTTATTCTTTTTAAAGCAAAAAAATTAAAGGAGGAAATGTTTATTTAGCTCACAGTTTGTGGAGGTTTCAGCCCATAATCAGCTGGTTCCAGGCAGGATGGCTAGGCACAGGGTCAACACTTAAGGCAGCAGAAGATAGAAAAGCAACAAGAACAAAAGGAGGGAAGAACAAGTCTGTTTTCCTTCCTTATATTGTAAGCACGTGACCCACATCCCATGGTGGGAGTACCACTCACACCGTCTCCTTGCCCTTCTCTTGCATAGGATGAGGATGTTTGCCAAAGGAGAATCCTAGCCCCTGCTGAGTCACTTAGTTAAACTTTAAACCTCAAGTTAACACAATGTATCAAACATTACAGTTGGTGAGGTGGCGGGGTGCTGTAGGGTGCCTTTCTGCCCCTGACCCACATGGTGGGGATAGACTCAGGCTGTACAGTCCCATGGTGCAAAGCTGCTTAATTCCCCACACCACTCTGACCTCAGGTCACAAGGGTGGGGTTAGCTTTTCCATTTACTATGCACCCCTGTAGTCTTTAATCTTGTTCCTGGAGGTTCCAGTTAGTGCTCTGTGTTTGTAGTTGAATTTCTCTGAGTAGCTCTGAACAAGGTTCCTCCTCTGTTCACCCATACCGTCCCTCTAATGAGAGCACTTCGGTGGCTGATTTGAAGATTGCTTGGAATGGGGAGGAAGAGTGCAGCAGGAATTACAGTCAGGGGCTATTACAGTTATCCTTTCCAGGGAATGAAGCACGGATGCTCTTCTACTTACATGGGGTGTACATCCTGACAAATGCATCATAAAGGGGAAATGCATTCAATACACTTAACCTATCAAGTATCACAGCTTAACTACCTAGTACACTATAGAGTATGTGCGGCTTCCCCTTATGAGTGTGGGGCTGACAGAGAGCTGCTGCTCACTACTCAAAACAGCCATTGCAAGAGAGCTTCCTACCACAGAAGTCCACAATGGAAAAGGTCAAAATTTAAAATTCTAAGTACAATTTCTACTTAAGACATATTGTTTCACACTATTGTTAAATCTAAAGAAAATTTAAAATGAACCATCATTACTAGGGAACAACCTGTAGTATAATATAGGTTGTAGAATGTAAGTCTGAAAATAATTTACAGATAGGTAAAAATCAGACATTCTATTAGAAACCTGAGACATAAGGGGAAAAGGAAAAAATGACGACTGTTGTAGGCCAAGCATGTTTAGAGGTATAGACGGAAATGGATATATTACATTTCAGTTGTTAGAGAAGCTGATTAGGTTTATAGAGAAATTAAAAAGCAGGCTAGAGTTCAGGGAAGTGGTATGGACCAGGTGTCCTGCTGGGCAGAGTCTTCAGGCTCAGACTGAGGGTCACCTTCACTGCCACATCTTCCCTTATGTCTCTTTTCACTGTGTCAAGTCTGAGGTAAGAAGCCCTCCTCTGTTCACTGAACTTATTGCTCTGTGTTATAATTACAAAACTGTAATAATCAGTTTACCCATCCTTTGTGAGTCGAGTTGTATTTATTCTCAAGTTCATACGCTGAAATCTTAATCTCCAATAATTCAGAATGTGACCTTAATGGTGAGTAAACTCCTTGCAAATGTAATTAGTGAAGATGAAATGATTCGGTTTGGCACTGATTCAGTGAGTCCTTACATGAAAGCAGAGATCAGGACTTGCACCTACAAGTCAAAGAGAACAAAGTATTCCAGTAAACTGCAAGAAGTTAGGACAAGGGGCTAGAACACTAGGACAGATTCTCCTCCACAGCCCCAAGGGAACCAACCTCACCAACTCTCTGATTTTGGATTTCTAGCCTCTAGAACTGTGAGATAATAAATTTCTATTTGAGTCAACCCATTTGTGATACTTTGTTACTGCATCCCTAGCAAACAAGAAGAGGCTCAGATGATTGCAGATGTTGTAAGCATCTTGAAGAACAGAAAGGGCACTTCTCATATTGACAATGACATAAGTTATGGGAAGGCAAGCAGAGGGAATGTGTGGTGAATAAATGTTGTCTTGTTTTGCAGATGAAATATGTCTTAAGTAAAAGAGGTGTGTAGAAGTTGGTCACAGTAGACCTCACAATTGGTGATAATCTGTGTGTGGTCTTACAGTCAGAAATCCTCTCTTGTGATTTGAGTTGATCTTAGTTGATAAAATTCTTGTGCAGGGGATTCATGAAAACTGAATTCTTCTTGGAGACTCCACCTTTAAGCCATAGGAACTCAGGAAAAACCTATGCCAGTGCCGTGGTTTGAACAAGTGCTCCCCAAAGTTGCACGTGCTAAAGGCCTGGTCCCCAAGTTGGGGGCAGTGGGAGGTGCTGTAACCTCTAGAGCTGGGGCCTACTAGGAGGTCTTCAGGTCACTGAGGCCCCATGCCTGTGGGGACTGTGGGACTCCAGTCTCTTCCTGTCACCCCCTTCCTGTCACTTCCTTCCTGTCACTAGCTCACGATGTGAGTGGTTTTGCCCTGGCCAGCGCCCCACAGTGATGGAGACTGGATCTTGACATTTGTGGAAGCTTGGACAAGTAATTCTTTGTTGTTGGAGGCTGTGCTCTGCATTTGAGGATGTTTTCCAACTTCCTTGATTGTGTTCTCCTCACTGCCAAAGCAGTTTACATCCAGTTATGGCAACCAAAAATGTCTTCCAACGTTTGCCTTCCCAGGCCAATGGAGAATCATTGCTTTCACAATGGTGACTTGAGACAGAGAGGACTGTAGTGGTACACTGAGGGCTCAGCACTTGGGCCGGCGAGCGCCTGTGCAGAGAGAGTGGACAGATGCCTGGAAGAGGTCATGTGCTTCTTGATACCTTGTTAGTTCTGTTAAACTGCTGCTCTGATCCTCACCCTATCCCATCTCATTTTGGTGGGATAGAAGACCGAGTTTAATACCTCTTCTAGGGGACTTATCCTTCTTTGAAAAAAATAGGAAATTTAAAAACATTGTATATCTTGTTGAGTGAAGCTCTGTATCTTTTCTAATGTTTTTTTTTTCATTATTTTTTATTCTTTTTAGTAGTTTGATCAATCTTGCATTCTTACATCTGGTAATCTGAGCAACTTCACTGAAGATAACAATATGTAATGTAACAACTACTGTTAATTCCTATCATTTTGTTTTGAAACCCTGTATCATTTCTATTGTTTTTGCTTTGTTTTGCATTTTGTCTATGTCGTTATTTTGTTATTTTTTTTTAAATTGTCTGTAAAATTAAAAACATTGTAATCTGTCAGCCTTGTGAGAAACATCTCCTTATGTGGCATGTAGCAAATGATGTTACCAGTTTGAGTCTAGTGACCCTGAGGGCTTTCAGAGTATGATGTGTGGAGCACAGCTCAGGGACTCAGTTACGTGCTGGCAGACATGAGCCCTTCAAGTCTCCTGGGAGATAGCTCTTAGGTATCTTAGGGACCTAAATTTGGTCCCTGGAAAGAAAATAGTACTAAGACATTCAAATAAAAGAGGGCAGATCTGTATGTTTTTCCTGTTTGGAAAAGACTTGGAGGTGACCTGTCATGCTTAGATTCATTTGTACAGAGTATGTTTTTTAATAATCATCTACTGAATTAAGAAATGTAGAGTGATGTCAAACTCATGGGCCTTGATTTGAGAGGTGGAGTTGATATGAAAAAGATACAGATAGTGTTGAGTCGTGTCACTATGAAACTTTGAGATCTATTGAAAGCCCCGGCCAGAAGTAGTGAATCATTTTTTAACGCTTTTTCAAGCCGGGGATGTAGCTCAGCAGTACAGTGCCTGCCTGGCAAGTGCAAGTTCTGAGTTCGATTCCTGACACCAAAAAAACCCCAAATAAGATAAATTTTAAAAGTTGCCTATGAATAAGCTCTTTTCAACTACAACTCTGATGTTAAAGCACGATATGTAAACAGAGGTACTGCTTCTCTGTTGGAGCTGGAGGGGAAGGAAGCTCTCCTCAGCTGGCCCATTCACACCTTGCTTTGCCTCACAATCACCTCCTGACCTGCTCTGTCCAGAAAGCCTTGTGGGGCAGTTGCTGCAAACCAGAACCATGGAATTAAAAGGGAACTGTCACTTTGCATGCGTAGGCTTCTATCCTCCTGAGTCTAAGAATGATAATCTCTTAGGAACTTGGATATGAAACTTGAGCTACAGGAACAATCACACAAAATGGGAAAATAATCTCAGTATCCCTGGGGTCTACATGGACTGAGCTGCCTCTCGAGTGGGACTCAAATTAAACAGACTGTTGGTGCAGTGGCAATGAAGGCCAAGCATGGGTAGAAGGCGGTGGTATCGGCGTGGACTGCCTAGTAGAGATTAGGGAGGAATGTGAGCCCAGGCAAGCGGTGCAGGAAACTGGCTTCTGGGACCTCAGGACTCACTGAAGCTCTCTTGAATGCTGAAAACTTTGTCATGGAGCCTTGATAAAGGAAGCAAAGAGGAAAGAGATTGTGGGGTATTTTATTCTTAGTTTAGGAGGCTGCACAAATGGCTACCAATAGGGGTTGGCTGGGCAGCAAGGAGTCCACGGGAACAAGTGCCAAATATCAGTCTGTACTCTGGAGACTGATGTCACAGTGGGCTTACGGGATTTTTTCGGCAGGAGTGGGTCCCTTGAGGGCAAGAGCTCAAGCTGACTGTTATGGACCTATGGTGGCAAACCCGGGAAAGCCGTTTTCTCCAGCCGCTTGAAGGGATGGTCTTGAGAACATCATAGCTCGATTTGTGGCCACATGTAGCTTCTAATGTCTAGAAAGGATGGGTATGGAGTTTTGAAGATCTCAGACCCATCCCATAATGAAAATATTCTTTGAAAACTTCACAGTTCAGATGAAAGAGTGAGTTTGGTGAGAAATTCATAAAACAAAATATACCCAGGCAGATATATTCAAGGCTGTTGGTAGGTCTTATTCATACAGGAAAAAATGAACCAACAGGAAGGACTGATGCAATCTTTTATTTTTTGATAGAGATTTAAAATTTTTTTCTCTGGAGCTTGTTGGTTTTGGGGATACATGGAGAGACCTGACTTTCCAATAAGTCTGAAGGGGCATCCACAGGGTGCAGATGTATTAGCAATCACTCTGTTTCACAACACATTATCACAAAATTTGGCACCTTGGTAGATGAAAGGTTTTAAGCTGAAGGAATTTGAGGAATGACAGCTTCAAGAAGGTATCCCTGGGTTTTGCCGCCCTTGTCTCTTCATTTAGGTCATAAGACTCTCTGAAGAGAAATGCTCTTCTTATCCCTGGAGGAAAGGGACATCTTTAAGATAAGGGGCATCAAGAGGAATGTGAAAGTACATGTCTAACCTCAGCTCCCACCACTCCAATCATATTTGACCACAACTCTTCATTCTTTACCAAACCTGCCATAAAAGTCCTCACTTTTAAATGAGTTTCTTGGTCATTTATCATGTCATGAAAAACTTAAACACATTTAGATGTTTTCCTCTTGCTAATAAGTTTGTGGTTACAAGGGCCTCATTCAATGAAACTACACTGGATAGAAGGAAAAGATAACCATCTTCCCTGCATTTCAAGAATACCCCAGTCACTCTATAGCCACTCTTAACTACTTTCCTTTCTGTTTCCTTCTAGTGTTATCCCTTACAGATGCTCAGTAAGACCATGGAACATCTTGTTTTCTCCTTTGCTATGTCCCCAGCACCATTAGGAATTGCATGTGTTGTCCCATGTTTTCTATGTGTTTTTTACAGGTTCCTATAGGACCATTTTAACTATGGGGCTGGGTACCATCTTTTCCTTCACATTACAAGTGGTAACCTTGGACTAAACTTGAACAGGATCACATAAGGAGAACTGTTGAAACCAGGATTTGAACTCAGCCTAGTTTCCCATCTTTAAGGTTTCAATTGAAATAAAGCCAGTCTTTTGATGAGGAAATGGATTCAAGTATTTAACTCTCAGCTGTTTTGTCCCAATGTCCTGTTACAGAACACACAGCGATTGGAGTCTTGGGTTGGTGGTGTGGGCCTGGAGTCTGTGTTACTCAGAGGGCTGGGAAAGAACAGTCGTTCAGGGCATCTGGGTGTGGAAGTTTGATGAAGGAGGAGACAACGAAAAGAGCAATCAGACATTGAGCAAAGAATGAGTGGAAACAAAGTGGAGTTAATGCATGAATGAATAAACAAACTCATGAATGAATGAGGGGATGAATTAGTTGGTGGAGTGAAAACACAAGGGCAAGGGAACACACTGTGTCATCCTCAGTGAGCTGGCCGCTCCTGTTCAGGGCTCTGATGAAAGGAGAGAGAGACTCCAAACTCCCGTCTTCCCATTGTCTTTACCTAATTTAATGCTATGCTGGCTGATCCAGACAGAACACATCCATGTATGTGTGTGTGTGTGTGTATGTGTGTGTGTTTGTGTGTGTGTGTGTGTGTGTGTGTTAAGAGCTGTTGCAAGAGCTCTTAAAGTGCCTTCTTTGAAATCTTGTGAGGAGTACTCCTTTTGAAGTCATTTCAACCAGGGTTAGAATGCCACTTCACCACTCACTCTGCTTGTGCCCTTGAAGGAATAACTTACTCTCCTTATACTTTAATTATTTTCATTATATAATATTCTACACTTCCCTGTGTTGTTAGTGGAAATGGAAATTGTACAGAATGCATACCTACCTATACACACACATACTACCTAGTGACATGTCTATTGGTCTATAAACA